CCGACTACTTGTTACTGCGTTGGCGTTCACGTCCACGTTCACTTTCACGCAGGGTCCTATAGGTTAGTACGCCGTACCAGCAAAGAGTTCGCGAGCTGTTCGGCTTGCTGTAGCGTCACGAGTGTGAGTGTGAGGAAGTATATCACTCGAAGACGACAACAAGCCAAGGGAGCGGAGGCAGTATCCACTAGAGCCGGAACTTCGTTGCTTGCCTTCGTTGAGCTGCAGCACCTAATAAGACTCAACACTGCATCGAATCCGCGACCCGATGCAAGAGATGCGCTAGACTGCTGATGCTGCTTCCTGCTCCCTGCTCCCTGCTCCCTGCTCCCTGCTGCTGCTGCTGCTGCTGCGTCACCTGCCCGCGTACCGTGCCGTCGTCCGTGCCACTTGCAATTACGAGTAGCGGGTGTGACTGACTCTGTGATCGAGCGCACGACCACTTGTCAAGAGTGGAGGTTTCGAAGCGTGTTGAGGCGGGTCGAGAAAGTGTCCTGCCGAGTCAATGCCCCGACGCGACGTGTGTGGTGAGAACCGCGAAAGGAGGCTTGTGGGGGTGGTGGATGTTCAAAGAAGCTGTTTGAATCGGCGATCGTCAGGGTGCACCTGTGGAAGTTTGTAAGAGTTGGACCATCAGCTGCGGTGAATGACTCCTATGATTCGACTTCAGGGGTGTGCTTGCGTGAATGCGCAGCGAAATTGTTGGTGTGATCGAAGCGACGACAAGTCAAGAGCGATGAATCTCGAAGCAGAAGGCGCGGCAAGGAGAGCGACATGCTTGCGGGTCAGGCATCCGCTCTTATACGGCCCTCACAGAAGAGTCGATGCCGCATCACTCCATATAGCGCTTCACATTTTTTCTTTGCTCGACGTCCACGCTCGCATCTGCTGGGCGTAGCGTTTGTCTTTGCAATGCGCGACGTACGGGGCCGAGGCATGAATGAGACGCAATGCGACGAGTGCGGATGAGAAGGTGAATCATCACTGATGAATCGTTCCGCTGTAGGTACCGGTACTGTAAACTTCGCGGCGAAGAATTTCGGTTGATTCGCTCGCCATGCAAGCTGACGATGCGGCATACAGTACGACTGCGAGACGATGCGCAGCTGAGACATGGAACAATCTAAGTGAAAACTGTGAATCCTGAACATCGCACTCGCAACAATCGCCATCGCGGATAGCTAGTGTGAGGCTCATGAGTCTTTGCCAGTCGTTGACACCATTGCAAGCATTGTCTCTTTCCAAGTCCGTGTTCGAGACGAGTCGAGGCCTCTTGGCACATTTTTGTTTATTTTGGTGCTGAGCCCATCACTCGAGCGCTCTGACGGTGTCTACAAATCGAAAGATCATCGTTTCACAGCGACAAAAAGATTCGAGTGCGCTCGGATCGTTTATGGGAACCTCCACAGCCATCGCTGTCTGCATCAGCTTCGAACCCCGCGAATGCGAGGACTAGCTTCTTTGGGCTATTGGAGTCCCTGAGCGTTCCCTGTGCTCATTTTCACAGGCTAGCTTTGGTGCTTGTTGGTAGGCTCCTGAACGGAGACCATCAAAGCGGAATTGAGCCAGGCTCATGGATGTGCACAGGTACAGCAGAATCGCTCAATTAGGCGTTCGGTTACCCCTCTGGATGCTAGGAGCAGTCTTGAGTACCCCAGCACTGCCGATACCATCACTCGAGAGGAGGCATGTGTGTGCAGGAGCAGTGGTGACTATTAGGAAGAGCACGCAGAGTCACGAGTGGGGTCAACATGCAGCGAATCACAATCGGCAAGGCAAATGAGTTCTCATCCACGCAAAAATTAATTATTAGAACCACGATGTGAGGCGAAAAATCGGAGATTCAAGATTTTGGATCATTCAGGGTGATGGCACTCAACACCGGCACCGGCATCGGCGCTGCCGCCGCCACCCACTCGTGGTTCGCAGTAATCGTAAGTCTCATAGTGATATGGCAACCAAAACGATGGCGAGGCAAAGGCAAAGATTTTTGCGGCCTGTATGCAGATGCAGATGCGGGTGCAGGTAACGGTACCGGTGCCGGGGTACAATGCTTATGCAGCTTGATGCGGCAAGTGCATGCACCGGTGCCGCGAACCTGCTGCACCGACGCACCGACGCACCGACGCACCGAAGGTGCAAGGCCAAGCGAGCTGTTCGACCTTGGCAACAACGTCCGCTGGCCGAGCTTGGAGTCAAGTCAAAGTAGTGGAATAGGAGATGCAAACCCTTTCCCAAAGCCACCCAGCCGATGTTGTGGGTTCGAAGCATTCGAGTGGCGCCGCGAAGCGAACGATTTGCCCGAAGAGCCAGCAGCGCTCCGATCGTTCCTCACGTCTTTTTTCAACGCTAAGGCAGATCTCGTGGGAGATTTGCACACGCTTTTTGGAAAGCAGGCGCACCGAAGGCACATACATCCCTCCTGTACGTGAATTCGGACGAGAGCATCGAAGATCGTGATCGACGGTAGGAGGCGCTCAGATATCTTTCTGATGCGTTGTACGCGCAGCATGTCAATCGAACGCTTGCTTTGCTCTCGGCGTGCAAATCGGCGCCCTACGAACAGCAAGTTTCGCCTTGACAGCTCAATCTGCATGCTGCGTAGTAGAGCGCATTCAATGTGCATCGGCACGAGATCGCATTCAAGATTGACGGATCTCGATTGGATGTGGATTGTGGAGTACAGGCACGAGTACGGCCAAGGTGTTGCGGGCAACAAAGCCGGTTTGACTGGCGGCTTGTTAGTAGTTTGTTTGTTTGGTTTTGCTTGTTTGTTTGTTTGCTGGTTCGGAAAGCGCGCGCCACGGCGAGCTTGCTGAAATTCATGCTGACAGTCCTTCGAGCGCTCGTCTGGAGCAGATTGTTGCAGAATGCGCTCAATGCGGCCAGCCAGCACCACAGCAACTGCACGCATCAAGCTTTCGATCTCGTGGTAGTTGGTAAATAAGGACTTGAAGCGCTGAAAGGCAATGCTACGTCCTTGTTCGCACTAGCATGCGTGAGAGGTCTTCGACGCTCGAGCTCCCACGTCAATGCACTCTGGTGCGCTAGGCTCGCGATCCCCAATTGCAAGGTCTGATGACCGAGGCCCTTTCCTGTTCGGTAGAGCGAGATCGATAGGCGAGGCAGCAGACCGCGAAAGTCGCATTTGCTTAGCGCGACGTGTTCTGATGACCCCGATTGGACGCAGGTCAGGTCGAAGCTGGTTGAAGAAGCCTTATGTAGCTAGACTGCCTTGGCAGACATGTCTAGCATGCAGTGTCAAGAGGACGGCTTGAGCCGGTGCCGCTGCATGAACAGCGGGCCTGAAGGCAGCTACACCTCTGTTGAGGCTAGCAGACCAGTTCGGCTTGTGGTCGAAGAGCCACAGGAGCCCCATGCAGCCTTTGAGTCTCTGCAGTCGGTCGAGCAACAGGTTCCTGCGTGTGCACCCAACCCGACCTGTATCGTAGGGTCTAAGCCGCGGTGGCGACTTGAGATACCTGATCTAAGGCGCTGTGGGCCGGCAAAGCGGGCGTATCGCTGTCATCGTCGTCCTCGAAGTCGAGCTGATCATAAGCGGAGGGCACGTGACCGCTCAGTCAGGCTGTGTGGCAAAGTAATGGTGCCACACCGCATCCGCAAGACGGATCTGGCCGTACGTGCCGCGACTCACAGGATCAAAGACTACCCGAATCAGCAAGCTGCAGCTAGGACAGGTGGCAATATCTTCAGCCTCCTTCAGCTGAGCCCTCGTGATCTCGAAGCGGTCGCCGCAGGGGCAGGGATAGTGAAATAAATCCTTCTCTGCATCGTACACCATGTCCTCCAGCTCTACCTCATCGTAGATTGATTGTTTGGGCATGCTGCAAAGACGCTAGCTTCGTTGGTGCGAGCACCACAGCCTGCAGTGCTGGGGTGCGCGACGGTCGCAGAGCCAGTGTGATGAGCGAGCAGGGGATAGAAGGCGAAGCTGTTGGTCCATCTGAAGGTGGGTTCATTCACCCTTGTCGCGTGTTGGCGTTCTGTGGAGTCCGCTCACGAACTCAGGAAATTCGCCAGTTTCCAACTTTTGAAATTGTGAGCTGATGCTCGGTGCCACGTGGCGTCGTCCTGCACCTTGAGCTTCTGAACCGACGCGACGCTCCGTGCACATGCATGCATGTATACATGCATGCTGGCTGGCGATGGGCTAGCGCGCACGTCGCGACCGACGCTGCGACAAGTATACTGCTATGCTGCTGGTAAAATGCCCGCGAATGCGCGGCCAACTTGGAGTAGGTATAGCGGCTGCAGCGTGGGCGCGGGCTAGACAGGCTTCGCGCGGTCTGATGCTGTCGATTCTTGCGATTGCTGCTGGACAATCCGGCAGAGCAGACATCACACTGACCAGACAGTCATGAGTCGCCCCTTCCATCCTTGCCATCCTTGAAGCTGTTCGATCGACGTCTTATTTCAGAACACATTCGAGACCATACCTCGTACATCACCAGTCGCCAATTATTACGACTGAATCGCAGGCGTGTTCAAAATGGCGAGCAACGGCATCGGTGAGTGCAGCAAGGAACGTGAGCAAGGACAGGAAGAGGGGAAGGACCGGCGGAGCTAGAGGGGCCTCATCTCGGTCGCGTGTCTCATTTGTCTGCCGCGGAGGGACCAGCTCGAAGCAAAAGTTCAGACGTGCTCGCATCACAAGCTAAGCGAGAAGGAGTCTCGTCTCGCGAGAGGACATGGTGCGACGTGATGGTCCGGGAGGCAGAGGCTCAGAAGGCCAATTTTCCTTCGAATTTGCGAATGCACCAGTGCCGTACGGCATCGGTAGAGATTGACTCGTTCAGCAAGCAGCGGCTCATCGACCAATAACTGACGTTGCTCCATCTTTTGCCCGCCTCAATTCTCATTTCCGCTTCCGTCTCCCGCTTGACGTCGATGGCGATGTGCTCGGGCCTCTCCTCTATCCTTTACTGGTCGCTTCTCATCTGCACCTGTGGCCCTGCACGCTCCACACTTCTTGTCACCAACTTTCATCTATCCGGATGGCCCAACACCAATCATTGGCCGGACACGAATCCTGGCATCACTTCTCATCACCTACCACTTCTGCTCTCAACGCCCGCCTCGACTTTCGCAACCCCCACCTCACCAATTCTATCATGTATGCGCCGACTTTGGCGGACTCTGCCGCAGGTATCGCGAATCTGCCCAACCAGGTGAGCGAACTTTGACTGGATGTGATGCGGTGGTACAGGGTTCAGGTCTGATCCCGGCTTCACCCGTCTCCCGAAACAGAGGCACAAAATTGTGGCTAAGGCAGGTGGGCACTTCACGTTGATGGTCGTCGGCGAGAGCGGTGTGGGAAAGACCACGCGTGAGTACTGATCCTGGCGACAGCAGTCGGCGAGCAGACCCCAGCGCAGGCGCAGCTCAGGCACGGGACAAGCCCAAGCCGGTAGGATGAAACGACGCAAGCGGTCTCGCGCGCTCACGCTTTAGCACCTCGACGCACAGTCATCAACACGCTCTTCTCTACCGAGCTGGCAACTGGCAAGGACCACACTCGCCGTCATGCCAAGCAACTCGACAAGACAGTCGAGATCGACATCATCAAGGCCGAGCTGGAGGAGAAGCAGTTCAAAGTCAAGTTGACTGTGATCGACACACCAGGCTTCGGAGACTACGTAAACAACCGCGACAGCTGGGCACCCATCGTCGACTTTCTCGATGATCAGCACGAGATGTACATGAGGCAAGAGCAGCAGCCCGAGCGTTTGCAGAAGACTGATCTTCGCGTCCACGCTTGCTTGTACTTCATCCGACCTACCGGCCACACCTTGAAGCCCCTTGACATCGAGATCATGAAGCGTCTCGGCACTCGTGTCAACCTCATTCCCGTGGTTGCCAAAGCCGACACGCTCAGCCCAAACGATCTTGCTATCTTCAAGCAAAGAGTGAGTTGTCCGGGGTTGGCCGTAATGTGTAACCCCTGATATGCGGCGTATTGACCCCACAAAAAATGTTCCTCAGATCCGCGAGGTGATCACTTCGCAAGGCATCCGGGTCTACACTCCTCCCATCGAGACAGATGATGAGGCTAGTGCAGACCACGCCAAGACTCTCATGTCGGCCATGCCCTTCTCTATCATTGGATCCACTAAGGACGTTCAGACTCGTGACGGGCGCACTGTCAAGGGTCGCTCGTACATGTGGGGAGTTGCCGAAGTGGAGAACGAGGAGCACTGCGACTTTAAAAAGCTTCGCAGCCTGTTGATCCGTACCCACATGCTCGACCTCATCAACACGACCGAAGAGACTCACTACGAGAACTACAGGCAAGCACAGATGGAGACTCGCAAGTTTGGCGAGCCAAAGGTCAAGAAGCTGGACAACCCCAAGTTCAAGGAGGAGGAAGAGTCTCTTCGCAAGCGCTTCACCGAGCAGGTCAAGCTGGAGGAGCAGCGTTTCAGGCAATGGGAGGCTCACCTCATCGCCGAGCGCGACCGTCTCAACAAGGATCTCGAGCACGCGCACGGCTCCATCAAGGCGCTGGAGGCCGAACTCGACGCTGTGAGTTTTGGTGAAGGAGCACGATTGCACGCGGACACCAAGGCAACGCGACTGACGTTTTGCCCCCTCCCACAATCACAATACAGTTGCAAGGCGGATACGCTCGTGGCGTTGGCTCTCAACGTCGATGAGCTTTGCTTTCGCGATAATTCTGTCGGGAAATGCCCTGCTCTTCGACGCTGCTCGCGGCACTGGCCTTCTTTCTCTCTTGTCGCTTCTCTTACGATGGCAGCGCTACACTGCGATGTGCCGCATTATTCAACCTGCCATGAGCAATGTACCGTCACGCTCGTATTCCACCGATTCTTCTTTGGGTATCTGAATGCCATTCTGCGTTTGAGACGTTTCTGCGGTGTACAACTTGGCCTGACGTTGACAACGTTGTATGTGACAAGCCAATGTGAACAATGTGCTGTACCAATCAATCTACTTCTCCTCCCCAGTCCACGCGGTCACGAGTCGTGAAACGTAAATTGTGACTTGGTTGCACGATGGTAGAGTCACCAAGCAACCAGTGAGCTAGATTCACGCGCGGCAGCCAGAGTCCACGCATGCGGCTGTCGCCCGATGCAGCGCAGGTCGCGTTATAGGTGACTGAGCGCGCGCTCGCTTGCCCATGTGCATGATGGGCATGATGGATTCACGATTCGCTTA